GAAGTGGCTTGGGAAGTTCACCTGCAGCAGGGCTGGGGTGAGGGTGGTCACACAAGGGCTTGCAGGAGCCACATGGAGGAGGGTGTTGTGGCAGCCAAAGCTATAGGAGAGATATGGCAAGAGATGTGTCCCCCCAAACTCCTGCCTGTGAGGCCTCTACAGCAGCAGCAAGCCCATCCCATGGGGGCTGCAAGGAGCCCTCTGGGGACACAGCTCACAGAGATGGAGGCTCTTGGGTGACAGAGTGATGCGCTGCAGCTCCAGTGACAAGGAGTGTGCACAGAAAAGCTAGTAGAGAGCGTGGGTTTGCAGTCCCCCTGCAGAGATGCTCCATGTGCTACAGAAGCTCAGGGGATGTTCAGGTTTCAGCACGGAGGGGTCAGGTTCAAACCCTGCTGAGTGTACAGGTGTCTGCTTCAATCAGGCTGGCTATGGCAGCTGGGAGTCAGGCAGCCCACCCGCTCCTTTCATTTCTCAATCCTGAGGAAAGCTAAACCCCAGCCTCCCTTCTGCAGCCTGGCCCCTGCCTATAATTATGTAATTATAGTGAAAGCCCCTAAACTTGTACCTTGTTAGGAATAGAAAAGCCAGTAAACACTCAGCTCTGCATGTGCTTGCAAATCAGAGGTGCTCTGTCTTTACTGCTTTATTTGCCCTGAGGTATTTTCTATAAAGGTATGTTCCAGCTCCAAGATTCAGGAGTGAGCATTTTCCAAAATTGTTCTCTTCTTGGTTTCCTTCCTGACAAACATTCCCCAAAATTAGCCAGTGGGGATCCATAGCACAGTTTTACAAACCATATTGATCCCAGGGATTCCCTGAACCCACAAAAGCAATTTTCATTGATTTAGCTGAAGGACATAGGGAGTCATTGTCCCTCAAACCCAGCTGATGGACACCTGTCACTCCACCTATCTGCCTCATCCTTCCTCCTCAGGGCCCAGACATTTACAGCACATTTTGGAGCCTCTATCCTCTATCCTCTCTCTCTCTCTCTCTCTCTCTGGATAGAGGTTTGACCCAGCTATGATCAGAACATGAGGTCTCATCCAGAGTGTACCTAGCCTCTGGGAGGTGAAAGGGTCTTTCCACCCCAGAGCAACTCAGTGCTCCCCTCGTCCATCATGTACCCACCACCAGTTGTGCCACCTCCTGAACCCAAGAGCTTGGTCTTCTTCAACCAAGCAACCTAGAAATTACCATTGCTGCTAAATATTTCAGAAGACATCATTTCAGAGTGACTAACTGGATGGATAGGATATTTTTAAGTATTGGGAAGAAAAGCATTTCTACTTGCATGAGATCTTGTCCATCACTGACATGCAGTCACCAAGGGAGAGGCACTCCACATACAAAGGGCTGGAGCCCTCTGCTCTGGCACCAAAGCGCTTTATAACTTCAAGCAATTCCTGGTGCTGTCCCAGGCTCTGCTGGGGAGAAGCAGGGCCGGGCAGCCTTAAGGCCTGGCCAGCCATGCCTGTGCTGTGGACATCTGAGCTAGCTTGGTTAAGTGAAGCTGGTTCACTTTCTTTTCCCGTGCTGAAATCAGTGCCCAATACCCCTGTGCTCTCACCAGGTGCTGAGCAGCTGAACATTTGCATTTCAGTGGCAGGTACTGAAACTGAACTGCAGCCATTCCCCCGTCCCCATGCTTGGTCAGACAACGCAGGATCTCCTCTCCTCCCTAAGCAGTCCTCCACCACCAGTCAGCTCTTGTAACCCCCATGCATGGTGCATAATCCTGCACAACAGGCATCAGTGATGGCCAAGAAGTCTCCAAAACTCTACTAGCAAAGACATTAATTAAAGTGTCATTAGAAAAGTATAACCTCACCTGAAACCATGCTGCGTGGCCTCCAGTGCCAGGCCTGTCACTCATACTATGGAAAGATGCTGATCTGTTTCCAATTTGCTTTTTGGAGCTCATCGTACATTCTACATGGAGGAACGATTTTCCTTTTAAGGTGGAACAGCACGAGGTTTGTTTTCTTTCAAAGAGATTTCTTTAAGAGGTTATTTATAGATCCTCTTCTGAATGTGACTGTGCTTTGCATCCCACACACACTGCTGTGATGTGGGATGAAATGTTCTTGTGGAGCAGTTAATTAACACCTTGAGAGCTGTGCCAGAACACAGCTCCAGGTACTTGAATACTCACTGTCTATCCAAGTACCAATACTACTAACCGCCCAGCCTTGCGGTATTTTGCGTTTCCCACTTTTTATCCCATAAGGTCAACTAGCTGGATTATGTGAAGGTAGCAGAAACACTTACAGTAAGAAACTTTAAGAGAAGGAGCTGCCTTCCTGCCCTGTGCTCCCTCTTGCCCATTTCTTCTCTGCATGAAGCAGTCCCAGCTTTTTTTCCTCGCCACAACTTATTAGTGTCATCCACTTCCAGATGCCTCTCTTCTGCCCCATTTGAGGTGGTTACTGGGAAGCAGGGATGTAGCTTTCCTTGGGATGTCCCCACTCTGCAGGCATTTTAACTTTTTTTTTTTTTCACTTTCTGTGAACTCAGAACCCTTTATTCAACTGTCCACATTAATACTGGTTGGTGACTTCTGTCTCACAAGGCCATTAAACAGACACCTTTCACCAGCAACAAATAAACTTAGGCATAAGAAAAGCAAAAGAGAGATGAAGAACAAAACAGCTTAGCAGCCAAATACAGCCTGGAGATCTGCTTTGCATTTCCCACTCCTCTGCATGCTCTTAATTATACATATCGCAGAGCTGGGAGGCTCCCACTCAGCATTAATATGTAGCATACTGCTTGCTGGATTTGGAGCATGTAATATGCATTTCCACCCTCTTCAGGAGCTGGTACGAGGATGAGAGCACTAAGGCCAACATGAAATTTTCACAATACTTTAAGCATCTTATTTCCAGTGCAGGAGTTAAACATAACACTACCGGGGAGAGGGAGATGCTAAAGCCTCCCAGTATTTGACTTAATGCCAAGCAGGACCTCGCCTGACCAAAGGCCACTGACAGATTGAAAGGTCTGGGATATCCCAGCTCATCTTCTACTGCATTTGTGTTTAACTACAAACTTGCTTCAGCACCAAAGCTTGAAGAAATATGTGAAAGGCAGTGTGCTTGCTTTTCAATCCTGGCTTCCATTCTGTATTTCATTAGCAGGACTTTGGGATGTAATAAGCAAGCCCAAGCAAACAGATGATTCTAATAAAATATTTAAACCCCTACCATCAGAGGTAGCTGCAATAAGGGAAAAGATTAAATTTCATAGGAGTCTTTTCCATCAAATAAGAGTGTGCACCTCTTAGCCCAGGGACAGGAATTGTATCAAAGTGATACATGACTAATTCCTTTAAAAAAAAAAAAATCTTTTGGCTTTAGTCTGATCTCTGCTAATCAAAGAGCTACCAAGTAAGCAGTGAACCAGCCACCTATTTGCATGTGGCAGTTTTAGGCTTCATGTGTCATTTCTCCAAGGGGTACTCCAGCTACAGAAGCTGAAAGAAAGAAATAGGGCCAGGGGATGCCTTTCCACCAGCTTGTTTCCATATTCACACAACTGCAAAAGAGACCAACTCCACCAGCATCTCCCCTCACCCTGTTGTTGGTGCCCATCAGGGAGCACCAACCCTACTGGGGAGCTGGTGGCCTTGGCTGTAACATCCCTCACTGGCAGAGGGAGGAAAAAATCCTCTGCCCAGGCATGGGGAGACCTTCTGTTCTGGGGAGAAGATGGCAGGAAAACCTTTACCCATGTCAGTCAGAAACTGATACCGTAGGGGAAATTATCTCTTTTACTATATCTGTAACCATGTGCAGAACCCAAATTCTATTTTAAATGCTTCTAATACCCAGAGTCTCAGGTGGGTCATGCACGAACATGGGCTCTCGTCAGTCAGCATCTTCTCTAAGCTGTTGATGCATCTGAGCACTATTTCAAGATGCAGTGGAGTTACTCAGGAGTTGCAAACAGAGCATAACTATTTGCAAACGGCTCCATGAGCAGACACCCAGAGGGATATTTTACTGTATAATAACTGTGCTGTATCATTAGCAGGTTTATGGGAATAGCTTTATTCCAGAAATTATTTTCTATCTCTATCTTTTCTCATCCAGGAGTGGAGTGAGACAAGCCCAGGAGGCTCAGCCTCCTGCTGTGAATGAAAGCAGAGCCTGGGATGCTCCAAAGAAGCCCTTTGCATTTGCTATGCTTAAAGCAATGGCTCACCTCACAGAGCCAGGAGACAACGGCTGGGGTTTTAAATGTTACCTGTCTTTCCAAGGTGCATGTTAGTAACAAACATAAAGACTGAGCTACTGGTCCTGCAGAGGCAGGTCAGCACAGCCAGAGGTTAGAAAACCACTGGTGGAGGCTGCACATGGTCACAGCTGCAGGGGTGGCTGCACCCCGACACTGCGCCAGGGACTGGGTGAGCGATTCGGCTGCAGGTTGTGCGGTGCCAAGCTGCCGTGAGGAACAGAACAGCCTCAACCAGCCAAGAGGCTCAACTCGTACTGTCAGGCAAAACGCAGTAAGGACCACCTTGGCCCAAATTCTTCTAAATTCAGGCCTGCACCACATGATGGGTTTTGTGTTTGGTAAGAAACCCCGGTCACTCAGCCTTAGGGCAGGTCTTGCTGGGGAAGTTTACACCAAAACCCTTTCTCCTTCCTCCACTCCGCTAGTCCCAAGCAGCTGTTTTCTGCACCCCTCTGTCATTGGTACTTGTTTTAGGGGAAAGGAGGCCCAGGGAACATAACAAAATGAGGGATGGACACAGACATGGACTTAGAGAAGAGCAAGTCTGGAAAAAATATTGTTCAGACCTAGAAAACTCCATGAGCCAAATCCTTGAATTCATGTCACACCAAAACAAACGGTTTCCCCACCCTGCCAAAAAAAGCCTAATTATCTCCCTTTTTCATGCAAGTCTCTACAACACATCATCCTGGTGGAGGGAACGCTGCTGTACCCAAACATGCTGACCACCACACATAACAGCCACGTCCCATCTCCTTTTTGCAGGCGGTGCCATGATCTCCACTGTCCTCCTCCTCTGGACTGTGCCCTGCGTGGCAAACCACATCCTCGGGGGCTTCGCCAAGGGAGCGCCACAGGAGGGTCCCCAGCTGGCGTGCAGCCTGCCAGGACCACCTGGGCCACCCGGCCCCCCCGGCGCACCTGGGGCTCCAGGGACAGTCGGCAGGATGGGCTTCCCGGGCAAAGATGGCAAGGATGGCAAGGATGGGGATAAAGGCGAGCACGGCGATGAAGGTAAGAGAAAAGCACTTCTTAACACAACAGGGTAAAATGTAAAAGCAATAGTGTAGTAGTCCAGTAAACAGCAACCTGGCATCCCAAATCTGAGCCTCAGGACAGACAGCATCTCATAGGAAACTCTTCTAGTAATTGCCACTCCCCCTGCCAACATCTCACACTTGTCAGCCCCTGCCAGGTGGGTTCAGACTCGCATTATTTGCTGATAGCATCTTAATGCTGTATGCAATTCCTGTTGCCTTCATTTTGTTATGAAGTGAGATTTTCCCTGTTGTGATATATGCTCTCTAGATGAGACAAAGTGGTGGTTTCTGACTCCTGCTCTCAAGCAAAACAAAATCAGGTGAAAAAAATTAAGTACTTGCCCCCCAGAGTGCTCTAGCTGAGTGACAGGCACTGCTCTGACCATGCTTAATCTAAATCAAAGCAAATGACCACCCTTCTTTACTCCTGAGGTGGGGCTCTCCTTTAGATCCAGCCTTACAGCCAGTAAGCACCAGAGCCAGTTATGGTGAGAAAACAGTGATTTCCCATTGCCACACTAGAGTGCACTCCTGATTCAGCATAACACCAGTGTGCCAAAGCTGCACTTTTTTCTCTTTTTCTACCTGCAAAGCAGGGAATCTGGAGAAAAGGTTTCCATCCACAGTTGCATTTAAATCTAGTCTTGCTACAGCAGGTCAAGAGACAGGGTCTAAATCCCCAGTAATTTGTTTTCTATCAGATATTACCAAAATCAGCACTAGTTAGTGGTTTCAGCTGTGACAGTCCAATGTGCTTCCCATCTCAAGGCAGTCCCTGCACCACATGTCTTCTGGTTCATTACTGGTTCACTCTCCAGCAGCTATGCTGGGCTTTTTACTACACCTAGATTTTTTTTTTTTTTTTTAACAACAGTTTCATGTTAAATGCAAAAAAAAAAAAAAAAAAAAAGAGAGAGAGAGAAACAGGAGATTAAAAGTGCTCCATCTGCTCAAAGCTACATTCCAAAAGCTTCATAAACCTGTCCCTCTCCTGAAAAACCCAAACATTTAAAGCTTGTTCTTGGCTAGCTTTATGATTAATTACTCCTTTTTCTCAAGTGAGACAGATAATTGAAACAGCCTTTTGGTCCTTTAAAGGGACAGACTGTCCTGCTCCCAAGTTCCATTGTTATCATGCCAGCTACCTACCTAACACAGTTAGTCAGTCCTGACAGATGTCCAGCCCCAGGAGGTAAACCATCAGGATTCTCACCAACAAGGTTTTCCTCCTAAATGAAAATATACTGCTGCAATGATGCAACCCCTTTCCACTTGCCATATCATCTCTTTCACTGAAAATTTACAAGGTTATTTGTCTTCTAGGTCCACAAGGCAGAACAGGAAACCCCGGCAAGCCAGGACCAAAGGGGAAAGCAGGAGCTATTGGCAAGGCAGGCCCACGAGGTCCCAAGGGTTTAAAGGGTAATCCTGGAAAAAATGGGGCACCAGGAAAGAAGGGGCCCAAAGGGAACAAAGGTGAGCCCGGGATGCCAGGACCCTGCACCTGTAATGCCAACAAAGCCAAATCTGCCTTCTCTGTGGCAGTCTCAAAGAGCTACCCAAGGGAAAGGCTGCCCATCAAATTTGACAGGATCCTGATGAATGAGGGAGGACATTACAATGCTTCCAGTGGGAAATTTATATGCAGCATCCCAGGTATTTACTACTTCACTTATGATATCACTTTGGCCAACAAACATTTGGCCATTGGCTTGGTCCACAACGGGCAGTACCGGATCAAAACTTTTGATGCCAACACAGGGAACCATGATGTTGCCTCTGGATCAACCATCCTTTCTCTGAAGCAGGAGGATGAGGTATGGCTGCAGATCTTCTACTCAGAACAAAATGGGCTCTTTTATGATCCCTACTGGACAGACAGCTTATTTACTGGCTTCTTGATATATCCTGATCAAGATTATCTCAATGAAATATAGGATGAGAAACTCGCCTGTGGGAAAAAATAGGAAATGCATGAGACCTCAGTCCAGCAAAGTGTAGCCTGTACATGGACATGTGTGGGATTATCATACAATTCCACATTTTTGGCGCTAAGAGCCTGATTGGCTATTTATATTTACTTGATGTCATCAACTAGTCCACAGGGTCCCAGGACCAGTAGGATTCACCTTTAAGCAGCCTCATGAATCTTGACATCTCAGAGTCATCCATTATGTTTTCCATGATAATTCCAACACACCATGGACATGTAACTCAAATACTGGTGCAGAATGCTTTGATTATTATTGTTATTATTATTAAGCACAGAAACCAACCACCATTTCCTGAAAGCTCAGCTAAGCACCACTGGTGCTGGAGACTGCATCACTGCTACTTAAGAGTCAGGAAGTTGTCAGCAAAGTTATAAAAGTAAGAGTAGCTCTCAGCCTCATCAAAGCAGTACTAATAAGCAAAGGCATCTGGTCTAAACAGGAAATTATACAAAAGAGAGATCACATTTTTAAGGTTAAAGGTAAGAGTCCTTGTAAGACAGAAGCTGTTGCACTGAACACCGCTGGCATTTCTCAGATCTCAGCCTTGATATACCAGTGCTGGAGTCCTGCATCTGGTTTCAGACAAGTGTTGGCAAGCAGTGACCAGAGCCTAAACCGGACTGTACAAGCCAAAGACCTGTGGGCCTCTGAGCCAGAGTGGAAGATGAACCTTAGAGATAAGACAAAAAGACAAAAACAGCATGAACCTTCACTCCAGAAACAGACTCATTAATAACACCCTTCCTTCATCCCTGCCAGCCTTCCCTGGAAGGAGATACTTGTGGTGCTGCTGAGATCCTCCTCAAGGGCTTAATGCTACAAATAGGGTCTTATCTTACTGATGCTTTGCTTTTTTATGTTGTATGTCAAATATTATAAGTGCTCCAAAAATCAATGTTTTGGTTCTAAACTGTATGGGGAAAACACCAAAAAGCTGAAGTTTTGCTCAGCTGAGCTGAGATTAGCAGCTAATGCAGGACATGCTCCAAAATGGTTCACTGTTACCAGAGCAAAGAGTTCTCCTGCTATAAAGCCACTCAGTCTGGCTGTCTTGCTTCAGGGCGTCCAACACTCCTGTAACACAGAGGTCTGTCTCAGTAGCCAGATGGAAGGAGTCTCTTTTTCATTATCAGATGCATCTTCTTGGTTTCCAGTTATATTCTCATCTCCCTTATCATTGATGAAAACTCTCGTGAACCTCCAGTTCCTCTAATCCTTATATTTAGGCTTTGAAGAGACATCCCATATGAACAAAGATTTTTTTTTTCCCAATCTCACTTTTACAAGTCAAAATATTTGCATGATTTTTGTAAACTACAATAATTGTGTTATATCTTACAAAAATATTTTCAAATACATTTTATAAAATAAAGCTGAACAAAACTACTGCTGGAACAGTCTTGATATTTATAAAAGTGGTTTCCCAGAAGGTATTTCAAAACTGCGTTACAGATTCCACTGACATAGTTGGATTTAGCAATGGACTTTGTAGGGGCTGGCGCAACAGGAGTATTTCCACTTTCCCAGCCCAGCAAACTGCGGGATGCAGAGATTTCTGCTCTCTGTACAAGAAAAACTGCAAGGTAGAAGAATAGGATCTGTCCATTGCCCTGAAGCTGCTCACCTAGATGGCAAGTGTCCTTTCCCTGACAGTGAGTGCTCAGATATTTCTCTTTCCAAAGCTACCTCATTTAGGGTGTCCTGGGGTGCATGTTTGCAGGCAGCTTCCCAGAATTGCCTGGGGGAAATAGCCAAAAAGCAGCTGACTTGCACAGAGGTCTCTATCCTGACACAGGTCCCCAGCACCCATGTGTGTTAGGTGGTAGGACACATGGGAGAGTGTTGCCTCTCTACAACACCCAGCTGTACTGCACCCAAAGGGGAAATTACGTAGTACAGCTTTAATTAATCCAGCAGCACTCACAGCCCACTGCTGCCAAAAGACAGACCTTGCTTGCCTCCTCAGTCTTTTCCTCTTGATTCAGTGCACTACCCATCCCCAAAGTGGGTATTTTTTATTATTAATATTTCCTGTTTGTTTGTGTTTTATTTGTAGTCGGGTTAGTTCTCCACTGATTTTATAAACTGAACCCTCTTGGCAGCAGGGAGGTACCAGAGCTGGGAGAGGAGGGGATGGGGTGGGAGAGCTCCATAGGGAATGAGCCTGAGAAGAGCAGGGTGGAGGGGAATCAGCAGTGAGCAATTAAGACCAGCTCAGCCGCTCAGTCTTCCCTCGTTATCTCCAGAGAAGGCCCCAGCAGGGTGTTTTTCCTTCTGGTGTCAACCCTCTCAGGGGGACACAGAGCTGGTTTCCCCAGAGGAGAAGCAAAGGAAGTTATTAACTGTCTGGCAAAGCATCCTTTTTATTCTAGTGAAAAGGGAAACCTGCAAATGAGTCTTTTAAGTCTGGACTATGAAGTGCTCAGTACAATAGCTCTTGCTTTCAGTTTGGGGCTGCAAGGTCCTTCCCGCAGGAGCTGCACAGGAGCTGGCTCCAGCCTGCTCCTGTCCACCCCGTTTGAAGTGCTACATGTGGGTTCCGCTTGCACAGGTTCCTCTGGAAAAGATTAATTTCCTCTTATCATGCCATAAAAGCAACTTGCATGCTGAACAAAATGTCTCCCCTCAGCCCAATCCTGCAAGAAGAATCCTCTCAATCAGCTGTGGACTCCCCTCCTCCTGCCTCACCCAAGAGAGGAGGGAGGGAAGGGCAGCTGGCCAGGTACAAGTGTGTCTGGGTCACTACAGGGCCAAGCATTGAAATATTGAAAGGGGGGGAACTCCACACAAAACTCAAAATAACTGGCTCAGACTTTGGAGAACTTTAAAAATAACACATTCTGGCTTACTCCTGCATCTTCAGGCTGCATTTTGGTTTGTGCTACCATTATCTTCCAGCCAAGCAATTATTTATTTTGTTTTTAAACCAAAACTGAGATTTACATAAAGTCTTTTTATTCCAGAAACACAAAGTCTCTGGAAAACCACCAAAGAGCTCCGGTTTTCACAGCAAAGCTGTCTCAAGAGAGCACCACTCCCCCACAGACTGCTCATCCCAGCCCAGCCAGCTGCCTGCACCACTGGCACAGTGGGAGAAGAGCTGGGAATGGTGGCAGCTGGGTGAGCACATGGGCAGATGCCATCAGGAAGGAAGGAGGAACGTCCTGGTTGAACAGGATGCCATCCACATCTGCCACCCTCACGCAAGACCTGTTATGCTGCAACATTCTCCTTCCCCACAAGTGTCAGAGGTGCCCTTTGCACCACGCTTTGGCACAAGCAAGTTCCTCCAGCATATGCAGTGTGCCAGTGCAGGGAGGCAAGGAAAGGCAGGAGCACCCACCTTCAGTGTTCAGTCAGCAACAGAGAAAAGGCTCAGCTGGTTCAGCTTATGGTTCATTAGAGACCAGCTTACACCTGGCTGTGACCAGTCCCCTCCAAGGCAGAGGAGGCTTTCTCTGCCACAGGAGCTCATCTCTTGTCTCCTCCAACATCTGTCCCCAAGCTATGCAGCAGTGCGCTTCCAACTCAGGCAAAGCTGTGACTTCACGCAGTCTGAGCACTCTGTACAAATACCTGCAGAATGAGAAACGCTCAGCACTGGATGAGCTCTAGTCCCAGGACAGCTTGTCCTGCCTGGTGCAAAAGCCTTGCAAAGCCCTTTCCCCTCCTTCAGAGCTGGTCTACACAAAAAGACCTTGAGGTTTATTTTGTAATTTTTTTTTAAACCATACATTTCAATCCCAACAATGAGAAGAAAAAATAAGCATCAAAAAATATATATTTTCATTGTGGAAAATTAAAATTAACCATGGACTCAATGTACATTGAGTGTCTGGATAGTAACGATGCAATGTCACAGCTGGAAATGAAGGGAAGGTGCCAGAGCAAGGCATCACCTCTGCAGCCCTGGCCACGTGCCCAACACTGTGCTTCAGCACTCACCCAAGCAGACCAATGCCTTCAAGTCTTGATCACATCTTCCTTCTTGGGGACTAAGAAGGACCCAGGTACATTTATCGGTCACCCTGGTTTGCCCTGCTCCCCAGGTGAGCCTGCCCTCAGTTACACTAGTTAACTCTTGACAGTCAGCACCCCAATGCTAAAAAAAAAAAAAAAAAAAGTATCTCTTTTTCTGTTCTTCCAGATTTTGTCAGTGCTACCTTGCTAAGTAGCACCATGTCCCTGAAGACCATGTTATGGCAGGCCCATGATAACATCACACAGCCCTGGGGGGCTGCATGGCTGCTGGTGGCTCTCTGCACTGTCCCTATTGTCCTGCCTCCTGGCAGCCACCGCCCCAGTCCCAGCCCCTTCCCACTGCCAAGGGCCCTTTCTGCACTTGAAACAAGCCAGGTCCAACAGCAGAAACTGCAGTTACATCAGGACAGCACAAACCCATGACGTGCAGCTCCCCATGCCCTGCTCCAGCCCTGTTGTAACCCCTGTAATGGCCCTGTCATTCCTCCCTGCATTTTTCAGCAACCATGTGCGGGGAGGCCATGTCCTCTGGGTGCTTGACAGGCAGGGCAAGAAGTGAGAGACCTCTACAAGGAAGGGTGTGTTCACAGTTTCTAATTTCCACATAAACCACTGGCTGAGAGGAGGAACAAGGAAATGAGTGCTCAGATCATGAAGGAGCAGGGATGAGGGGGTGGTGTGCTTGAAAAGGAAATTAAAAGGGGGCTGGCTTGTGCATCCTGACAATTCTCAGGCACAAAGCTCAGATATTTCAGGCTGCTGGGCAGCAACGGGCCCATGAGCCTCCCCTGGGGGCTCTCAGTGCCCCAAGGCAAGACACAAGCACCCCAACTCAACCAACTCAGCATCAGCAGAAAGCTAGGAACAGCAACTGTTTAAAAGTCTTTGAATGTAACAGGCTCTTCAAGCTCCATAGAAGCTCAGCAGCATTTTCCTTAAACTCTAAAATACTGTCTGCAATATTGTTCTTTCCTTGCACTGTCACAGGCATAGTCTGGCATGGGTACACACCCAACAGCAGCTCACTGGGGTTAAAGCCCTTCACACCAGCCAGCCAGGCTTAATAATTACAGCTCCCAAGGACAGTCCTAATCCTGTAACATCATCTTTAAAAAAAATAATTTAAAAAATCATAGTTTTTTTTTTTACCAACAGCAGAGGAAAGCAGGTTGCAGCTCTCCAAACCCATGAACTCCACGCAGAAAGGGGCAGCCCTGCTCTCATCTCTGCCACTGTGAGGGCACAGAGCTCCCATGCCTCTGACCAGCTTGCTAATGGCTCTGTGTTAAACCTGATCCAGCTAAGTCAGTAACATGAGGGCACAGCTCCACATAGTTTACAGGATCTTTCCCTGTGT